TCCACTGATCCATGCTATGAGTCTCCTTCAAGGTCGAACCCACCACGCTGACGAGTCCCAGAAGCCGCAGGTGGTCTGCGATTCTCAATCGCCTCCACCTTACGGTTATGCTTGTAAACCAGACGATTTAAAGTTCCCACAGCGAGGACCAGACCTTCACACTGACTCGGAAGCTTTTCCATGGCCGAAACTGCTCCCACTGTCTTCTTCAAAAGTCGATAAAACAGAGCCCCGCCGATGCCAAAAAGCAGAGTCCCTGCTATCATAAATCCAAATATGTAAACGTCTTCAACATCCTCCTGAGACAAAACTGTGATGCACATCATCTGCCACACTCCCCACGAATCCATGACGTACCCCACAGCGTGAGTCTCAGCTGGACACGCCGGTTCTCCAGGACCTTGTCGTTTTGATGAAAAAATCTTATCAATAGAGTTGAACGCCCACGATACCAAATCCATAGTCTTCTTAATTTATGTTCGGGAGATGAGACCCAGGCGCTTCAGACACACACAGAGCAGAGCAAGAAGAAGGAAAACGGGGGAGGAGAAACAGAAGCTGCCACCTCAATGAGAGCCTGGGAAGAAATTATATATATAGGGTCTGGAGTGGGCACACGCTGGCATATACTGTAGGTGGTGGGATGTGTAATCATTCTCACCTTCGGGACCTGTGCCCACTCTCATATGTAGCATGTAGACATTTAGGGTTCTGGGCGAGGGTTGGGGAGGTGAACGGGAACTACCTACTCTCTGGGGAGGGGGTGAGTCTGTGCCAGTCGCCGCCTCATCCCCCCCATTTTAAACATCCTATATAACAACATGCATCAACACCTTATTTGAGTGGGAGGAGGGAGGAGTTGGGTCTTCCTGTTAATTATTTATATATATATATATATATATATATATTTCCCCTAAAGCCTTAGTTCTCTGTTTGACATTTGAGGTCGGGGGCAGGGAGGAGGAGTAGGCTGCCTGGTTGGGGTCTGGGATGTGGGTGGGCGTTTGGCCTTGGGGGGCAATTGGGGGTGGGGCCGGTGCTCCGGTTCTCCCTGGGTTGTTTGGATCTGTTGATCAGGGTTCCTGGTTGCAATGGCCGGCCCTTTGGCTGGGGTGGCTAACGGGTTCCGGCGGGGGGTCGGCTCTAGTTGTGTGTGTTGGTCGTTGGTTGTGTATTGCGGTGGTCGGGGGCGCGGCTTTGCTTTGACTGGGTGCTGGCTGGTCGGCCTGATGTGACATTCGCGGTGGGGAGGGCTGTGTGTGTGTGTGGGGGGGGGGGGGGGGAGGGGGTGGCATGCCGGGGCCTCTCCGGGCCTGTGGTATGGGGCTTTTGGGGTGCCTGATCATTGGTGTGCTGGGCCGGCCTTCCTCAGCTGCTGCACCCTGCTGCTCTGGCCCCCGCCTGGGGCCGACTTGCAGTCGCTGTTGGGTGGGTGGGGCGCATGGACAGCCTGACAGAGGCTCTGTTGGGCTGTCTCTGTGTGCCGGTTAATGTCTCAAGTTGGGTTTTAGGTGGTCCCCTCTCTTGGATCAATTTGGGCCCCCCATTTAATGTGGGGTCTACTTCCCCCTGTTGTGCTCCCCTCCGGTGGTGGGCCCCGCCGCCGCCGGTGCATTGGTAGCTCTCAGCATCTGGGGCTGGGTAGTGGGGTGTGTGCAGGCCCGCCCTTGTGGCTGCCTGCTGGGGCCTGGGTGCCCTGGCTCTGTCCGGCCTCTGTTGGGGGGTGCTATGACCTCAGGACTCTGGGCTGGGTGTCCATGACCGGATCTACTCTCAAGGGGCGGGTTGCCGGCGGGGCCTGTGGACTCATCGCTGCAGCCTCCTGGGGTTTCTGCATTGTGGTTGCTGGGGATCGCCCAGGGCTTCCCTTTGCTTCTCTCTCTGGGGGGTGCGGGTGTCCCTGTTGGGGGACTCCCGGAACTCCGGGCTTGGGGACCACTGTGTGTCTGTGGTTCCGGTCTTCCCTGTGTTAACATCGTGTCCTGTGGGAACGGATCTGTGGGTCTCCACATCCACTATTGAACATTTTTATGGAGAAACGTTATAGTGACAAGCATGCTCACACAGGTGTTTAGATTCAGATGTTTATCAGATACACGCTCAGTTGGGTTGTGGTGGCCACTAAATAGATCTTGTATTACCATGTACTGTATAAAATACTTTCTAATGATGGTATAAGTATCATTATATATGTTGTTTGTTGTTGTGGTTTCTCGGTTTTGACTTGTTTTTTTTGTTTTTTGTTTTTCCGCAGGTCTAGAGGCAGACTTCAATGATGTTGATTTGTGTTCTCTTTATCCCTCTCTCTCTCTCTCCTCTATTCCTATCTCCTTCTTTACCTTTTAACCCTTCTCTCACTTTTCTGCTTTGTTTTCCTCTTTGTTTTTCATCCCCATGTCCATTACATCTGAAATAAACCCAAAGCAAATTCTAATAAAATTGAATTTATATATCAAGTGGAGCATTAAGGCCAGCCATAATGCTCTGCTTGTGAAAGTAAATCTGTTGGGCATCACTTTGACACTCAGACAATAATTCTAAGTGTCACAATGCCGGACAGCACAAGGGAAAAAAAAAGATTATTCATATCTAACACATAATGCAAGTGAGATAAACATCAGGACAACAGACTGAAAAATCAGATTCATCAACTCTCCCAGCTGTTACCTGGCAGTTTAAAGCCACGGTGACAGCATGAGGCAACAGCTGGAAGTCAGCCGTGCACGTGCCACTTCCTGTTGATCTACAGACCATCGAGCCACCCCGCTGAAACACCGGAACCTGTACAGAGCAAACATCAAACTGGGTCTTAAAGGCTTTTACAATCGTATCTATATAATATGAGACAGATGACACTCCAGTGAACGGTAGACTGATGAAATGAAAGTGAACACTAACTGTGTCCAGCGTGACTGGAAGAATCAAAGCTCTGCCTCCAATGTACGCCTTACCAGAGTAGATATCATACCAAACCTAGAAGGAAAAAACTATCTTTAACATCTACAGCACAGTATAACACAATAATAATATAACCACATATATATACATAGTGATTATTTTACCTCAGCACTACCAGGAAGAAAAATCTTAACGTCTTGAACTCCTGGTTCTGTTACAGGACAAGCCAGCAGTGCTCCTCCTGCATGAAACAAAACAAAGTACAACTTGTAAATTTTAGGCTGTACTGCATGTTAATGCAAAAATAAAGAAGGGTCATCACCAATCATGTACTGAGAGTCCTCTGTGAAAGTCTCCTCTTCTTGTGGAAACTCCACCCACAGAGGCCTGTAGAGTAAATCAAACAGCTTGTTAGTCCCACAAGTAAACAAGGTGATAAGTAGAGGCAAAATACGCTGTGAAGGAATGCATATCGCCCGTCTGCTTTTGTGACAGAGTTTTAAGATCATCTGATGTTGACAAATGACAGAGTTGTAGCTGTTTTGGTCAAATCTTTAAAATAATGTTATGCTCAGTCTCATGCAGATGAACATCTAAAGATTATTTTTTGAAAGTTACATCAAAATTCATCCATTGGTTCATGAGGTATTTTGCAAACAGACCAAAAATGTAAACTCCAACAGTCAATGCTACATTTTCAGCAAAGATCTGTGCAATGACGAGCACTAGTGTTTCAACATGTTCAGGCTACAAGATAATAATTACAGTAATTGGATATTTGTGCAGTTGCAGTACTACAACTGAACAGCAGAGGGCAGCAACACTGACCTGACTGGAGGCTGTCCAGAGGTGTGAGCTTTGTGGAAAAGTGTGTACCAATATGGCAACAAACAGTACCTGAGGGCAGAGGACAGGTTGCTCAGATGACAATGTCAAATACTCAGTAAGTGATCTTTCATACATTTACTCCACTTTTATTAGATTTGCAGTGTGAATGCTGAATTACTGCTGAATATTGTTGAAAAGGCTAAAACTAGAAAGTTAAAGTTGAAACAACTAAGAAAAAGCTAAAATTAGCAAAACAGTAACTAAAACTAAAAATAGAAAAACAGTTAAACACTAAACCCAGCAAAACAATAGCTAAAAGCCAAAACTAGAAAACAGTACTTCAAAAATTAAAATAAATAAATGTGCTTAAGTAGATTTTGCAAGGTTTTTCAATGATTTGAAGACTTATGTCAAGTAATGTCGTTTATTGGTGAAATCGTATCTGCCAGAGGCTTCCAAGTAACAGATTTGTACTCTCTGTGATGTGATCATAGAAGAATTGTTTTCTATGCATTGATTATTATGTGATTGTAACAAGTTGTCCTACATCCTGTGTTTAGGGTGAAGTGAAATAATTTATACTGTATAAAATGAAATGCTATATGAGTTCATGCTGTGGTCTGGGAGAAGGAAAAAGTGGTGAGTTGACATCTTTAAAACAGCAGTAAAGGGAGCCAGCTGCATTCTGGGGGAAAGGTTACATTTCCCTTGGAATGTTGCAAACGGCTGACCTAATCAGAACAGCAGTACATGTAGAAGCCGAGCAAAGCTGCACATTACCATTAAAAGGACAGGCTGTAGAAAGAATCATGTGTTGGTAACTTGTAAGCTTGTGAGCTGAGAAGCAGAGGAACAATACAACTCAATACCTTATAAGGGCACAGTTTGGAGACAGTCTAAATGTTTACCAGAGGGCCGACCTTCCTAAAGAACTAAGTCCAATCAGAAAATAACCCCAAGCCTACTGGCAAGTCGGGGCTGAACGGACCGTGGAGTCGAAGGATTAGGACAATATAGCTTCACCCCCAGGAGCCACTCACAGGGAGCTGGAATAGCTCAAAGAAGACTTCTTTTTCATCAAGATAGGAATATTCTTTCGTTCAGCCGAGCTGACACCAGACCAGATCCCTCGGGATTAGGACAGCTTTTGGGGACTTAAGGGAGATTTCTTCCAGGGCTCTTGATGAGAGATTTATCGTGCCATTTTCCAAAAGTCTTCGGGCTGAAATGGTGAGCGACCCCTAACATATTGTCCAAATGCTAAATTTTATATGAAGTAACATCCATCCATCCATTATCTTTACCCGCTTATTCCATTTTGGGTCACGGGGGTCGCTGGTGCCCATGTCCAGCAATCACTGTGCGAGGGGCGGAGTACACCCTGGACGGGTCGCAAGTCCATCACAGGGCCACATAGAGACAAACGAGACAAACAAACATTCACTCTCTCACTCACACCTAGGGACAATTTAGAGTTACCAATCAGTCTAACATGCATGTTTTTGGACTGTGGGAGGAAACCCGAGCACCCGGAGAAAACCCAAGCATGCACGGAGAGAACATGCAAACTCCACCCAGAAAGGCCCCTGGACCGGGGTTTGAACCAAGGACCTGCTCGCTGAGAGGCAGCAGCTCTACCAGTTGCGCCACCGTGCTGCCCATATGAAGTAACAGTGTTCCTATAATTAAGAAGAAGGGTGAGATTGAGAGTGTTGTCCTGCTTCCAGCCTACTTGAAAAGTTACCACATAATCTGTGTGCTGTCAAGGTGGATTGTAACAGGTCTAGCTAAAAACTTAGTTGGTTCATTAGACAGTGATTAGGGGTTTGTGGGGATTTAACATGCTTTGGGGCTCCAAGTGCATGTTAGTCTATTTTTGTGGGAATAGGCTGCTCTGAAATGAAAACCTAGGCATTAGGAGACAAGATTCTCTAACTTAGCTCATCGGAGCCAGGAGAGCCTCGCCTTAGTGGACACTCCAGGACCCTGATCGTCTCACTTGACTAATAAGACACTCCCTGGAACCAGACATGAACTCTCTGTCATTAATTTTTTTAAATGATCAAATGTAACCAATTATAATGTGCTGATAACACTATACCCCTGCAAATCCCTAATTAAAGCAAAGCATAAAATGTAAAATTCTGGACTATCATTTCTACATATTCGTACTCAAAAAGTTGGAAAGCTTGGTTCAATTTCATCAAAAAGAAGGTTTTTAAAGGTTTCACAGTTTGGATCGAACAATACCCTGGAATCTTGTGCCTAGATTCTAAAAACTACCAGATTGGTAACAATTGCAGTTCTACAATAGGAAGTGAGCGGCCAAAATGCCAGTTTCCCCGTGATCAACAATTTAACCCCGGCTACTAGGTTGAACGAGTAACGGGGTGAGACAAGGGTGTGGCTCGCAAATGATGGTCGTGAACAATCTGGGTGAATCACTTCCAACACAGCCTTAAACAGAACTAGCCTAATGTCACTCTGGGTAAAGCCCAAGTGTTAGAATAGTCCAATATACCCCTTAGAGAAGAGGCTGCAGTGGGTTTTTAGCCATAACTCAAGTGATAACTTCACTGGGTAGAAGAACATGGCGTCCCTGGGTGGGCCCTGACATTCCTTAGATAAGGAGCCCTTAAAAGAGTAGACATGCATCAGGAAAGACTTACCGAGCGTCGAGGAAAAAGGCGTGCATCAGGAAAATCTGTACTCAGTTAGCCTCGGCACCAAGAGATCATCTTTTATTAGATTACTCTCTAAATCTTTCTTGCACTGACGGGTCCCAATGTGTGAATCCCTTGCCACCGTTATTAGTCCATCGACTAACTATGACCCTATAGTAAAAATGATATCCAAGGCAACGGGCCTGGAGGGAGCGTTAGTAAACTCCAAAGCAACAGCAGCTGCAAGATATACAATATATGAAGATGAGTTGAAAAGGATGTGGGCATATAAAAAAGCAAACAAAGACCTAAAGAACGTCCGCAGTCAGCAAAGCATCTGGGAGGACGAGAATAACGAGACAGAAGAAGAGGTTGCGAACAAAGACGCAAGGGAAGGCCCTTCATACGAAGACATGACAAGAATAGAAGAGGCAGCAAAAGGGCGCACTCCAGACAATGATGAACAAAGCCAACAGCAGTATCCCCCAGCGTCACATGTATTCCTCTCAGCTTGAGCCCAAGCAGCAGGCCCGAGTGGAATAAGAAACACGCTGGAGGATGGAGGAAAACAAAAATCAGATGATGAGTTACAGTCCGATGATGAATCGGAGAGCACTGAAACAGAACAGCAAATGGAGGAGTTGGCTCAAAGGCTGGTGTAAAAAATGAAAACCATCCATCCATTTTCTTCCGCTTATCCGGGGTCGGGTCGCGGGGGTAGCAGCCTAAGTAGGGAGGCCCAGACTTCCCTCTCCCCAGCCACTTGGGCCAGCTCTTCCGGGGGAATCCCGAGGCGTTCCCAGGCCAGCCGAGAAACATAGTCCCTCCAGCGTGTCCTGGGTCTTCCTCTGGGCCTCCTTCCGGTGGGACAAGTCCGGAACACCTCACCAGGGAGGCGTCCAGAAGGCATCCTAAACAGATGCCCAAGCCACCTCAACTGGCTCCTCTCGACATGGAGAAGCAGCGGCTCTACTCCGAGTCCCTCCCGGATGATCGAGCTTCTCACCTTGTCTCTAAGGGAGAGCCCAGACACCCTGCGGAGAAAACTCATTTCGGCCACTTGTATCCGAGATCTCATTCTTTCGGTCACAACCCAAAGCTCGTGACCATAGATGAGGGTGGGAACGTAGATCGATCGGTAAATTGAGAGCTTCGCCTTTTGACTCAGCTCTCTCTTCACCACGACAGACCTGTACAGCGCCCGCTTCACTTCAGATGCTGCACTTATCCGCCTATTGATCTCACGCTCCATTTTTCCCTCATTCGTGAACAAGACCCCAAGATACTTGAACTCCTTCACTTGGGGTAGGACCTCCTCCCTGACCCGGAGAGGGCACTCTACCCTTTTCCGGCTCAAGACCATGGCCTCGGATTTGGAGGGACTGATCTTCATCCCGGCCGCATCGCATTCGGCTGCGAACCGCTCCAGCGAAAGCTGTAGATCACGATCTGATGAAGCCAATAAGACCACATCATCTGCAAAAAGCAGAGATGCAATCCTAAGGCCACCAAAACGGATCCCCTCAACACCTTGGCTGCGCCTAGAAATTCTGTCCATAAAAGTTATGAACAGAATCGGTGACAAAGGGCAACCTTGGCGGAGTCCAACTCTCACCGGGAACAAGCCCGACTTACTGCCGGCAATGCGGACCAGGCTCTGACACCGGTCATACAGGGACCTAACAGCCCGTATCAAAGGGCCCGGTACCCCATACTCCCAAAGTACCCTCCACAGGGCCCCCCGAGGGACGCGGTCTAACGCCTTCTCCAAGTCCACAAAGCACATGTAGACTGGTTGGGCAAACTCCCACGCACCCTCCAGGACCCTGCTGAGAGTGTAGAGCTGGTCCAGTGTTCCACGGCCAGGACGAAAACCGCACTGTTTCTCCTGAATCCGAGGTTCGACTATCCGACGGACCCTCCTCTCCAGAACCCCCGAATAGACCTTACCAGGGAGGCTTAAGAGCGTGATTCCCCTGTAGTTGGAACACACTCTACGGTCCCCCTTTTTGAATAGGGGGACCACCACCCCGGTCTGCCAATCCAGGGGAACTTCCCCCGATGTCCACGCAATATTGCAGAGTCGCGTAAGCCAACACAACCCTACAACATCCAGAGCCTTTAGGAACTCCGGGCGAATCTCATCCACCCCTGGGGCCTTGCCACCGAGGAGCTTTTTAACCACCTCGGTGACCTCAGCACCAGAGATTGGAGGGCCCGACCCAGAGTCCCCAGGCTCCGCTTCCTCAGTGGAAGACGTACCAGTGGGATTAAGGAGGTCTTCAAAGTATTCCGCCCACCGACCCACAACATCCCGAGTTGAGGTCAGCAGCACACCACTCCCACTATAAACAGTGTTGGTGGCGTACCGCTTTCCCCCCTGAGACGCCGGATGGTGGACCAGAA